TACAGGCTTTGTGAGAAAGACTGTAAAAAGGATAACAAAGCATTATAACACATTTCTGTCAAACACCACCAACAGAACCACAAATTCCTTTAAAGCCTAACCAAGCTCCAGACATGCCCAAAGCACCTCCACTGTGAGTCACCAGCCCGCTCAAATCATGTTACTCCAGTACATACAATCGCACAGAACTATTTTTATCAAGGCAATGTCAGGATCCATGCTCCTGATCAAAATGTTTAGAAATGATCAACTTAGCAGAAGGGGCAGCTGTTGAGTGAGAGGCTGTGCACCGATCTTTCCCCCTTCCCTGCTTTCCTTTCCTTTCCTTATGTCAGGACCACAGCCTGAGCCAAAAATAGAAACCTCAGCAACATGAAAAGCCTTATCCTAAACCACTAATCTTTTCGCATGGTGTCCTCAGAGAAAAATTAAATTAAAAAGAGGGTGTGACCAATGTACAAAGCAAAAATTAATAAGTGAAAAGAAAGCATGTAACAATGAGGGCCTCAGAAGGGCTCTGTGCAGTTTTTCCTTACATTGTGGAAACATTCATTGCCAGCTGACAAGCCCCAACACAGTCTCTCATTGAGCGGGAATAGTAAGATCTATAAGCTAAAGGTTTAGCTTACAGGTGACATGATAGAGGCTTTTATTCCAGCCAGAACACATTCAGCAAAGCAGCACTTTCCAAACTTTGTGATGCTGAACATTACTTTTAACCTTTTTTGGACAGCCTTTATTTTTTATGGAAGGAGGCAACCCCTTACAAACACTGCTGGCATTCATTGCAAGTAGCAGTGTTCTTCCAAACACTGCCACAGGCCAGGAGGAGGGTAGAAATTCAACCAATCCAGACTGAGACAATGGGAGAAAAAACCCACCATGTGAATCTGTAAAATGGGTACATTAAGCAGTGGGATGCATGTCTGAGCACACATCACCGGAGAGCACAAAGTCAGCACAGCACTAAACACTCTTGGAAACCATTGGCTATGTATTCCATATTTCTTCTAGTTACTCCCATCTTGGCACTACTTGGTGGATCCTGTAGTATTTGGACATATTTTTGTATTGTCTCTAGGGAAAACTCTTATTGGAAAACAACAAGCAAAACAACAAAGCTTCTGCTGGTTGAGCACAGAGACATTTCGCTGTCTCCTGAGGAAGCTGACAGCTCCAAGTCACTAAATCCCCTGCTCGGTTTATATTTGCTGTTTATTTTATTTTATTTTGTATTTGATTCTGTCTATACTTTATCCACCTTTTACATATTTGAATGCCTGAACACACTGCTGCTGTAACACAAACATTTCCCAATTTGGGATCAATAAAGTATCCATCTACCGTCCCTCTCACTGATTCAGCCAACTCTGTCATCATACAATCAGTATATGAAAAATAGAAAACCCAAATTATTTAGAAATGTAATAAGAAAGGGGTTTACTGTTGTGTATTTACAAAAATGGGTTGTTTAGAAAACAACAAACACATATTTAAAAAAAAAAAGGTAACTGTTATCATAGGGTTAAAAGGTAGGCTGCAACCAAGCACCTTTTTTTTTCTCCATTGTTGATACAATTATTTTCTTCATTTATTGATAATCAAATGGTCCCAATGCTTGTTTTGTCCCGCCAGCAGTTTTGAACCCTGGACATATTTAATTTAAAAAAATAGAAAATAGAAACAAGTGTGGTGGAAATGTTTGCAATGCACTGGTCAAAGAGCTGTCCTTCTGAGTTTTAATCAATTTAAGTCTTTAATTAAAGGGGACCTATTATGCAAAATGCACTTTTGTACGTCTTTTATACATGAATATGTGTCCCCGGTGTTCCAGGGAACTCACCAAGTGTCAGAAAACACAACCCTCTCTATTTTCCTCCATACCCAAATCTCTAAAAAAGGGGCTGCAACGGATCTGATAAAAACTGATCCAGATTTGAACACTGTCCTGACGTCAGGACAGTGGCGCTACGGCTATTGGGCCAACTCCACCAATCAGGAGGATACAGCCACGGCCATTGCCGTTCGAAAGCGCTGGAGACGCTGTAGTAGTGTAGTGCCAGGCCTGTAGATGGTGCTGTTCTCACTGAATCTGCCCTTGCAAAAACAGGGCTAAAAAATGTCAAATTGAGCAAAATGAGGCATGGCTAAAATGCATGATCCGTTTGATATTTTGAAAAAAAAAAAGTATAAATATGCCTTATATAGGTATGGTCCTACACTATATTATTCAAATATAGCATGATAGGTCCACTTTAAAGTTATTGTTGTTCATTTAATTAGTTATTAAACTCATCATTTTAATTCCAATTTACTATACAAACTCCTCAGACCAGAGCCTGAATTGTTACCGTTTGGGTCTGTCTGCACAGTAATGTCTGATACAAATGTAATTAAGTAACCCTAGATACATTACCACACTGAATGAAATATAAGCTCAACACTAAGAAGAAGAAGATGGACCTATTCATTCAGTTTCCACTCCGTCGTACACACACACATGTGTTTTTATACAGGTAATACAGTACACACTTTTTACAACATGCAGATACATATACAAATACACACACAGTTACATGCACATGCATTGAGAGGTCAGAGCGGAGGCAGCCAGTCTAGCCGGCGCCAGTGAGCAGTTCCCCCAACTGCCGCTGCCGAAGTGCCCTTGTTCAAGGGCACTTCGGCAGCAGCCCAGGAGGTGAACTGGCTCCTCTCCAGTACCAGTCCACACACCGTATTCCTTGGTCCGATCGGGACGTGAACCGGCGACCCTTCGGTCCAAAGTCCAATCCCCTACAGACTGAACCACTGCCGCACCCACTAGTCATGTTAAACAGCACTACTAATCAACACTATTTTAAATGAACAGTTTTGAGAAAGACTGGCCAAACTTTGGGGAAAGTTAGCTGATGGCGGGTCGGTTTGATGACTCTGGGAAAACAACGAAGGATGTCAAGAGAAAACAGGAGCTCTTTAACTAAAACAATACTTTTTTTGTTTAGTTAAGTTTAAAGTTCGTTAAAAAATGATTCATCAAAATGACAAGAAGGAACATTCATGTTCAATTATTACAGTGTGCAGTTGCATTTGTAGTATTTCCAGTGGGCTGGTGAAAAAACATAGTTTTGTTTAAAATGATGTTTTAGTGGCGGCTGTGTTTGGAGATGAGCCAGGCTCGAGGTAAAGGTACTCCCCTGAGCATTCACTGATCACACAGTGTAGTGCAGGAAGAGTCTGTCCACTACAACCAGTCATACAGTGACTAATGGACATGTGGCAGCATCAACCTGCTGGCTGCCACTAAGCACAAGTACATACCAGCTGAGTTAAGTGGAAGGGAGCATTGCAGGAGCAGCCCTACCAAGAACTGCATTTAGCAGGAAGTGAACACTCATAGCTGACTACAAGGGGGGCTGTCCTCTGCTCAGAGCAACACAACTGCGCCTCCTTGTTATTCCACAGACAGATGCCAGGGAATTGAAGGAAACCAAGTTATATGAAAACTGTCAGATAGCAGTGAGGGTAGGGAGGATGTGGACTGCAGTGGGATGGTGGGCTAAAACAAAAGTTCAGAAACAGTTGTGATAGATTTTCATCCAGGAGTTTATAAGGCTGCTAAGCTTCACGGGAAGATCTTGTACCATATAGAGAGACTTTTGAAAGGCATAAATAACCCTTTCCTTACAGTCTGGAGGGAGACTTATACCTGGTTTATAGTCTGGTACCTCAACCGCCCTTTTCTCAAGATAACAAAGATCGATAGAAAAAGCTCTAAATACCAAAGGAGAGGTCATTCACACACACACCATTGATTTGTCGGCTTATTCTTCCATTATTTGTTTATAAAATGTGTAAATCGTTAGAAACAACTACGATTTAGCAGATTCAATTTTAATCATCTTCAATTTAAGCATTAAAGGTGGGGTAGGTAATTTTGGAGAAACCAGCTCGAGTGCGCTAGAATTTGAAAATACACAACTGGAGAAAATCTGCCACTTCCTTACAGAGCCCCTCCTCCAACACACACGAACGCGCACATGACCAATGAGGGCACGAGATAAGTTTGTGCACAGATGGAAGGCTGACAGGCAGGTAGGCCATCCAGTTATTTTAGCCGGGCCGGCTAAAATGATTGGTCGTGCTTTTTACAGTACTACGGCTTCCACAGATGATATTTATTTATGGATCTTTTGTCAAAGCACTTAAGATATTCATTGCTATCGGGATGTTAAGAGCATTCCATGGAATATAACAAAAAGTGTATCTCGAGCCGGTTTCTCAAACTTACCTACTCCACCTTTAATACAATGAATGAAACAGTTCTAGGTTAAATGTGAGAAAATGGCTTCTTAAGTTACGTTCATTGTTGGGTTTGGAGCTTTTTGTTTGATTTGATTTGCTTTTTATAAGGAATTTTGAAGAAGCACAACCACCCACCCAAATATTTGTATCTTATTGTATCTTTGAAATAATTTTGTAACTCCTGTAATGCTTGAAAACACTGATGCTGTGACAACACATGTTCCCATTTTGGCATAAATAAAGTATCCATCTATATATCTATCTATCAAGCATATAATACATCTATAAAAAAATAATTGTTGAACCAAAATATTTGTTGTTATAATAAATGTTCTAATTGAATAAAGAAGCAATTAGTTGAATAGTAAATGCAAGTTTGTGTGTTTTGGAAGGTACAATATTACATTGGGAACTAAGTGGCAATACATTGGATTTATTTCCAGAAAACACTCAAACAGCTCCAGGTAAGCTCCTTAGGAAGGAGAACATATTGCTCACAGACTTAGCTGGCCTCAGATTCAATGTGGTGACCTTCTGCTCCATTGTAGCTGGAGCTTGGGTGGCAGTGCTGTCTCTCAACACTCACTGCCAGCCAATTGAACACAATGAGACGGTTTGCACTCAGGCGCTTAGCGATGACATGCCAAGTATGCACCAGCCCAATCTCCAGCCTTTATTGCCTTACAAAATGCACTTACTGTATGTCATCATGCTCTTTGAAGCACACAGACAGCAGGACATTAACAGCACTTCTGTCTTTGGTCAGCTCATTCCATCAGTTCACTCCACCGCTCTATGTTATCGGTCCTTACACAGGAGAAACCTCTGTCAGGTCCACACTACAGATGCTGTATCTGATGTAGGTTCAAGCAAAAACAAGGCAATTCATTATTCAATCCGAGTAAACAAATCTAAAACGTCAGATACAGAAGGTTTTATTATTCATCTGAAGGAGTTTCTGAAGCATCATGTTTTCCGTAGAGGGAAATAATAACCTTTTATCAAGCATTTTCTTAACATGATAAGGTTCAGACAACGTAAGACTTGTGACCAGCACAATTTCCTTCTTTTAAACGTTGTACTAAGAATATGGATTGGTGGTGCAGAAGTAGATATCAAGGCATTCCTGCTTCAGTGTATTGCTGGACGTCCGTGTGTGTGTCTGAGGAAAAAACCCTCCACCGGAAATGCTTCCCACAGCTGTTAGGAGTATCATTCTCCACCTTGAGGCCAACCAAAAGACAAATAGCAGCCAGGTCATGTGACTCTTCTGCTGCTGAGATGCCATTCGGTCTTATTCCAGCCCTCTCAAAACATTCAAGTCATACCCTTCTCCCTCAGTGAGCCGGCCCTTTTCCCCTACATCAGGGTTTCACCACAACGATCCAATACATACGACAAAGACCTATTCACACATGCATGGGTATTACTATAATATAATATGCTTTGTTATATTACAAATGTATAATTAAGTTAAAAGCACAGTCATTTTGGAATTCAAAATGACTGTGGAAAACAGCACAATAATGGATAGAAGTAATGAAAGTAGAGAGGACTCATCACTGTATTGTGTGCCAACTAGAGATGTCCCGATCCGATCACGTGATCGGGGATCGGAGCCGATCACGTGATTTTCAAAAGATCGGAATCGGGAGAAAAAAATCGGGGATCGGGATTTTTTTTTTTTTTTTTTTTTTATAAAATATTTTTATTATTTTATGTTATGTTACAAAACAAAAATGTTCACGTCTTAAACTCACCCTGAGGCCTTAGTTTTGGTTTAAAATTACACAACATCATGTATGTGTTGCTTCTTTTGGGCTTGTTTTCATAGACCTGGTTGCTTATTTCTCTCAAATCTGGCAACAGAGTGGGCAGGGCGCAGTGTTTCCACTACACGGCCTCGCTCGGCCTCGCTCGGTATGGCTGGGCCTCGTTAGGACTGGCTCACTTCCATTACAGTTTAGGAACTGGGGCAGTATCTATAGTAACGCAGTGTAGGCGGAGCCGTGACGTGATCTTCAGAGGACCCCAGAAAAACAACACAGCCGTTAGCTGTTAGCACTCAGAGCTCACAGCTCCTCATATATGTTCAGAAACTAGACAAAAGTTAAACAAGTACAAACCACAGACTGCCTGTGTCATGGTGAATACAGTCGCTGCTTTATTTATGTCTGTATAGGCCGTTGTTGTGAGTGTGGACGGTCGGAGCATATACTGCGTTAGCTTAGCCAATCTCCATTTAGAAAACAAGCATTTTAAAAGGTTTTTCCCCTGCCGTCTGTCTGCAGACTTGACAAAGCATTAATTCATGGTTTTTACTAACCGGTATCAGTATGTTGTTACTTCGGCATCATTTTGAAACGTGTATTACAATTAAATCACGGTCAAATATGTCCATCTTGTTGTAGTTGTAGCCCCCTTGCCAGCGACGCTCTCTCTAGTTTAGCATACTCAGCCCGACTCAGCCTCGTTGTCTCTGGCCCTGGACCCACGATTTTATGAGGCCAGAAAAACTGTGAATTAGGACCCGCCGGCCGGTACTAGGCCAAGTGGAAACGCAACCAAAGACGGGCCGCTGACGTCACAGCCCTCTTAAACCGGGCTGCGCACTGTAGTGGAAACGCGCCATTATGGCTACTAATAGTAGCAGTAAGCTAACGAGAGGCTACGTTCAGCTGGTGACTCGGGAGTCGGGACAGAGAAAATGTCAGGAGTTTGGAAGTATTATAAAATTGATACTAACAGCCAGATTGGTAACAGCCAGATGCAATGTTTGCAAGGCGGAGGTTCCGCGTGGTGGAAAGAACAGAGCTACGTTCAACACGACCAATCTAATACGCCACCTGAGAAACAAACACCAACAACAACACGACGAGTACACAGCGGCCACTCGGGTAACGGCACTGAAACAACCGACACTTTCAGAGACTTTTAAAAGGAAAGAGAAACTGCCCCAGAACAGTGAAAAGGCCAAAAAGATAATTCATCGCGTTGGATGACCAGCCGTTATCTGTTACCTTTTTTTTCTCTTAATGCATTGCATAAAGATCGGATCGGGAAAAATCGGTATCGGCAGATTGTCAAAATCAAATGATCGGAATCGGATCGGGAGCAAAAAAAGGTGATCGGGACATCCCTAGTGCTAACACAGTCATTCCATCAATCAGAATAAAACATTTGCTTTTCACAGGAAGTTAAATCTCTACGATTACTTATTTTACAAAAAAATTCAAAAGTGCCCATGAGTCTTACCAATATTGAGGGAATACAGTGTTCACCCCCTCTACCTCCAGCTTCTGGTCCTCTCCTCTCTCTTCTGTGTAAGCAGCCTGACATCCACTAATCCACCTTTCAAAGTTCTGCTGAGGAACGTAGGATGTAATGTTTTACAATGGTGCGCACTATATTTTTGGCAAACTCTTAAATGAGAAATGTAGAATACAGTGATTCTGATGAGATATAACTAGCTTTAGCTTTGGTTATGTTTACTAAGGGAAACACCTGATTCATTTAACTAAAGTTTGCTGAAAATATGTGTTTGTACAGTTTCAGGGTATGATGAATGGTGTAACCTTTCTTATACTGACTTTTTGAAATAAATTGTGCCGTGGGATTACTCGAATTGTCTTTTGGTATATTGTGTCAATGTTATATTGTTCATATCCAATCCTCTACCATTTGAAAGAAACACAGATAATAACATTATTAAAGAATTGAGAGCCATTTTAGGTAAATGACCTTTACCAACCTCTACCAAAGATTAATGACAAACACCATCAAAACATGTTCTAACAATATGTGTTTGTTTTCAGATAGGGTTTATTCATTCGTATCTGAAATGTGTTGCGGTCTGTTAAGAAAAAAAAAGCAGATGATAGGGGATATTACCATGGGCTGTTAGGTTTGTGGTCCAAAACAAAGTATGGGCTGCGTGGTGAGATCTGGGAGCCAGATATCTCTGCACTTTCCTCACACTGCGTTTATTAAGGTAATGTTGCATGTTATAGCAGTCGTAGTTCTGCTTATGGCCAATTTCAGGACACATTGAGATGCTAAATCATCAGTGCTCTGTACAGCAGGATGGGCAGCTTTCATGTTTTTCCCACACTCCCACAGTTGGCCCAAGTGTGGAAGTGCAGGGTGTGCACGCTAGGGGTTTCACAACTACCTATATTTACTAGTCGACAAGTTTTTCAAAATAGTAGTCGACTAGTTGTTTGTTAAGTCATAATAAAGACACACAAAGAGAGGTGTAAAACTGTATTTTGTATTGCAATTCATACAGTTACGTTAAACACTGTAACACAGGAGCATTTTGATTTGTGTTACATGCTGTTACATGGCTGATTAAATTAAAAACAGTAACTGGACTCACCAAATCTCATGCAAAAACTCTGTTAAGAACATAAATGCAACGTAAATCCACTGCGCATTGCGCAACACTTTACTCGCTGTCACTGTCCTCCTCGATAACGATGTCCACCCTTCCAGGTTTTTTGGTTTGCGTTAAGGCAGACAAAAGCATCAACATGTGAGGGAGCGGAGGCTGTGGCGCAGCTTTGGTGTTCGGATAAGGGGAGCACAGGTTCAAACCCCACTGCAGTCAGCATGTCGTTGTGTCCCTGAGACACTTCACCCCAAGTTGCTCCTGTGGGGATTGCCCACAGTATTGAGTATGTAAGTCGCTTTGGATAAAAGCGTCTTAACAAGTAACATGTAATGTAATGAAAGAGGCTTGACCGCTGTCGGGTGACAGTGGTGCCTGCCAGGGAAAACATCCGTTCACTTGGGGTGCTGGTGGCTAGCCAGGTAGCTCCTGGAAAGCTTGGCTAAACGGGGGAAGCGGTTTGCGTTTTGTGCCCACCACTTCAGAGGGTTATCCATTGTGGGGATGTGTCTGCTGGCAGTAATCCCGTAGCTCATCCGCGCCACTGTTGACCCGTTTTTTCTTGTTGCTCTCGAAATTAGGTCCAAACAGCTGTTCAAAGGGGGGGGGGGGGGGGGGGGGGGGGGGGGGGGGGGGGGGGGGGGGGGGGGGGGGGGGGTGCTAGTGGAGCACGCTCGTGAACTTTTAGTGCCGGAGCTAAAACTGAAACTGTAGAGCGCATAATTGTGGCGCATTTGCGCATAAGATGAGGACCCCTGAATGTCAGACGTGTTTTGCTGGAGCATTTTGCAGCACCTCAGCGCCAATGTCGGCATCCTCATCTCCCACGTTTGTCTCCATTTTGTTCACGACTAGTTGACTAGGGCCTACAGCGCCGACTAGTGGTAGAGGTAGTCGATTAGTTGGTGATCAGCTGTGGTGCCGGCAGAGAAGAGGGGAACACAGCGTAGATTGGCACTAACAGGTGTGACCTGGAGGGGGCAAGCTCCGGACTGGCCTGCACAGACAGCAGCTAAACACACGTAAACACACACACATTACATGTTACTTGTACTTACATACTCAATACTGTGGGTAATCCTCACAGGAGCAATTTGGGGTGAAGTGTCTTGCCCAGGGACACAACGACATGCTGACTGCAGTGGGTTTTGAACATGTGACCCCCTGATCCGAACACCAAGGCTCTATCCACTGCGCCACACACATTGACACACACTCCTCTAAGGAATACCACAGCAGACCGGATCTGTTATGACATCTCTAACCAGGAGCTGAGGCAGGCCAGAAGGTTTAGGAGGCCAAAGGGTGCCACGGGAGAGAGAGAGAGAGAGAGAGAGAGAGAGAGAGAGAGGAGAGAGGGGAGAGGGTGAGGGGTGCAGGCTGGACTTAGCTAACCCACAGATATCCCCGAACTGAACTCTCTCTTATTCACACTGAAGAGGAGTTTCCATGAATCAGTGGCTA